ATCATTTACGACACTTTTTATTTAATATCCATTTGATTTTTTCGTAAATGATTTAAATTATCGCTCAAAGAAAACCACGCTTGAATTTGCAATTCGATCAAAAAATATTTGTACCCCAAGTTTTATTCCTTTTCGCATTCCCTCTTTCTAAACATCACACTTAATCAATGCACAGAGTTTTAAATTTTTTTTGAACCGGACACAAAAATCATTTTAATGATGAATGCAACTATATTCATCTAAATAGATGGAAACGAATATCTCTCGTCGTCAAAGATCTTAAGCATTATGATTTTGCATATAAATTGTATATACATACTTCATGCATTTTCCTTTTACTAAAATAACATTTTGTTCAAATTTATTTTAAATATAAAAATTCCCGTATCTGCTTTCGGGAGCAATCTAATGCCGGCATGCACACAACCACCACCGGCTACCAATATTCATTACGTGTTTAAGTTATGTTGGTATGTTAAAAGTACATCTGTCCGAACAGCATCTATACGCTTATAGGAGTGATGCGTATATATATATGTGCATATTTGTGTATTTTATATGTGTTTGTGTCTCTATGTGCGTATGCATACTTGTTTTTCTTGTATAATTGCACCGGAAACTTCAATACATGCGTTTTTTTTAAAAGACTACTTGACTATTAATTATATTTCAAAATTACAAGTAAGATCAGCAACAACAGGTTCATCACCAATTCCAGCATCACATACAGATCACAGATACTACATCAGTACTGTTTGTATTTTACAAAAATACACAACATACGTTTTGAAACAGATATATTTCACATAACGAACGATAAAGAAAACGCAGTAGCACAGCGTATATGAACTAATATTATTCCTTAACAAAATGTGAAATTATATTAATTTCATTATTTTCTTAGTAACGACCAGGAATAAGTCCCATAAAAAGCCTATGAATTTTGATTATCAAAAGCTTCTTAACCCAATGTATCTACACTCATTTGTCCGTACGGGGGACTTTTTCATACGTTCCTTCAATGGAAAATTAACATTTGGCTCATACTTTGCTTTAATCATACGGACTAACTTTGAAAAATTATCATCCAGAAACATACATGAATTCTATAAAAGAAATTATTTGGAAAAACGGGCCAATAATTTCAATACATATAGATTGCCCTCTAATATTTATTACCGGGTAAGTTTTCGTAATAGGGATTAGCCCAATAATGTGCCTAATAGTAACTAATAACTGCATAACGTGGTGGATAACGACACGTAAAGGGCCCGCACTACAAACAAAGTTATACTAGATATTGCATAATTTTTCATTCAAATATCTTAAAATCCCATTTGCAATACTAAGTGTTGCAGATCTTAGTAAACTAAAAAAAATCTTACAAACAAAAAATAAATAAAAAACTCCATGTCTTTAAAATCCATCCTCTGTTCCAAATAGCAGCGTATGCTCGACATAAAATGTAAAAGGTGTGCAATGTCTATTAATCTCAATTACATTAGTGCATTGTCTTCGAAAGGAATCTTTAATTACCTTCATACCTGTTAATGTGCGGCAATTATGAAAGTTTCTTGTTCTCTGTTTTGAGTTTGCTTCAGTCTTCACCAAAAGTGTGGGTGGTGTATTTAATAATATTTACCATTTAGGTAATCTGATCCTAGACTGGCATAGAAAGAACCATGTGAATGAAACGTATGCATACGTATATATATGTTTTGCATACAGTAAGTATAAAGTTTTTGCAAATAGAAGACTTTGAAGTTGCGAAGTTTTGCCAACCTCAACCCTTTCGATGTCAAATGGGGTAGGCAAGGGGCAGGGTACAGTTTATATACAATTAAGGGGGGATGTCTCTTAAATGCCCTACACTGCTTTGCCAAATAAAAAAAATGGAGATATTTTGCAATATAGCTTTAACTATTTTGCAATAAAGGCTCCACAGGCTTGTGAAAAAATTGTTGGGATTCACGATGAAAATGCTTCATCAAGACGAGCAGGAAGCAAACGGTTCGCTTATTACTTCTTTGGACATTTGATTGTGATTGACCAATTCTACAAAAAATTAGGGAAAATTCATAAATTTCAATTTTGGAGATTTCTTTGGAACCAAAGTCGATTGAACTTTCACTGCAGTCTACTTAGGAAATAATGAAAATATATTTTTATTTTATTGAAAAATACTTATATGTAATAGATTATGTTAATATATAATACATATTATATAAAGTATATAATAATACAAACTATGTAATGCAGAACATTTAATATAGAACATTTAAATGTGTGATATGAATGAATACATATATATTTTAATAAGTTGTACGTTCGGACATTGAAAATGAAATGGAAGATTTATATTACCTTCTTAACTTGTACTTATTTAATGTGTTTATTTAATTGTTGTAATTTCGAACAAATTTTTGCTTTAATCACATTGTTCTTCATAGCGAAAGGATAAAGATAAAAGGCAACCACATGTTATCACACATAAGTGATTGTTTTGATTATATGTGCGAATTCGTTACTGGGTTTTGCTAGTTTGCCATCAGTGGTTAATAATCCTATTATTGTTTCACAAGATTGTATTGCATATTATCATTGTCATTATTGTTATTAGACATTAGCATAAAATAATACTTATAGAATCACTCATGCTCTCCGCTAATGGGTTGTAAAACTTAGTAATTTAATCTAAATAACTTTTTTCCTAAAATTTAGAAGAAATCGCCTTCGTTCAATTTGTAAGTAATTGATCCATATTATTGCAATAAAGCGCATCGTTGCTAATTTCGATTTTTTGAAGCCGCTTTTATGAATATCGCTTTTTTGAAGCCGCTGAACATTTTTTTGATTTACAGATACGATATCAATTTGGATTATACGATGAAATTGCCATCATGCTCGGCAAAGAGGTACATCACTGCAATTGGATACGTTTTCTGAGAATATCAAACACGTTTGATTCAAATGTGAACATGGTGTGTACCAAATTAAAAGGAGAACCAATATATGAAACAATTAAAATGATTGCCAATAACCATGAATTAGTTGTCTTTTACTTACCTCAACGCCCAGAGCAACATCTATTTTCTGAAATGCGGACTTCATTATACCGACATGCTATCGATTCTATACTTCAAGGTAAATGCAAAGGTTTTTAGATATATAAATATGTATATATGTATCATATATATATATATGTACATGTATTATCTTACATAATTATTATTTAATATAAACTATTATTTGTAGTAAAATTTAGATGAATTTTTCAAAATATACCATTCCTAAGAAAGCGTATTTAGCAACAATACTAGAAGAATGAGAGCACGGGAGATGCAGGGTCTCCAAAAAGTACATAAAAGAAATCAGAAATAACTTTTTTAAAATCAAGTAGAATTAAAATTACAAATTGAAATTAACTTGAATCATATAAAAAGGGTGAAATGTCTCGGGAAGTCTGAAAAATTCATTCCATAGCATGGGAAAATCATATTTATTTTATCAAAAAAAAAAAAACTAGAACAAAGTGACTTTTCAATTTTGGATACACTTGACGTGTTTTTTCCGTTTTTTTTTTCGTAGTGCGGGTTCACCCTTATTATATGCGGGAAAATTTTTATATTTTTATTTGTTGTAATGTATAAGTAATGAGCAAAAACCCCAATTTTTTTACTTTTTATTTTTGAAATGGGAGATGGATCTTTAATTTACGTCTTATTGTAGACTTTCAGTGTTACCGATTTGGCAAGTTTTAGCTTTCTGCTGCGAGCAGAAATTTAAAGTCGATATCTTCCCGTTTGCAATCAGGAGAATGCTTAGAAGTTATTAAGATATTCAGACATGATGTAGATGGGCAGACGAACCTGTTGAAATCGATTCAGAACTTGATTCTGCTCAAGAATACATACTTCATAGGGTCTCTCAACTTTCCTTTTAGACGTTCCGGCAAGAGAATTAAATTTTAAATTTGGGTGGTCGTGGCCGATCTTTTTAATTTTCCAACAAGTACCCTAAAACGTGCACGCAAATGTCTAACGAGAGAAACACCCAATTTATTTTTTCATCTTTAAGAATGGAATTGGTCCCCGTTTACGTTATACTGTGAGTTTTACATTATGATAATTTATAACGATTGGTTTTTACAAATGATAATTTATACCGATATTGAACGGGCGAAATATCTTTAACTTAGCTATATCACATGTACTGCTAGATAGAAAATAGATGCGAGATGCAGTTTTCATTTCTACGGCATAGGATTCGTAAAAGGTAGCATCCACAGAGCTCACATATCATTTTTCACATGTGGGAAACCCGGAATCCCATGTGAACTAGTTTTTGCAGCAAAAAGTTCAGGGCTTTTATGTGGCTTCACTAGCTTCTTCAGCGGGACAGTGAAATAGATGCGCTTTTTTAAATGTTGTGAAAAATAAAGTGTTTCGTAATATTTTGCTGTAAAAGTCAATTGTAAAGATATGTCGTACTTCTTGAGAAAAAAATGCAATATGAATAAATATTTACAATCGAACTAGATCGGTCGAGTGAAGCATTCATTTAATTTAGTGAAAGTGTGGTTAAAAACGATTAGTTATACCGGCTATTGACTATCTGAACTAATTTATACAAAAGTTTTTAATTTGAAGTACGAAATGTTGCGTTACTTTTAAATTTTTCATGTTTCATGTTTTATTGTCCGTCTGGAAACATGCGAAATTTTTCAAGTGAACTTCTTTTAATTTTTTGTTTATACTTAACATAACTCTAAAACTATTTCTAAACGCGGAAATGTTCCTATAATAGAAGGAAAATGGAAGAAAATACCTTCCAGCAATATAAAACAACAACCTATCTTTCTGTCTACTCGTATATATCTGTAAATGTCTTCATTTTTGCGACCGGGGAAATATTTTTCACACACGTTACATAGAATTGTATAAATTTCTTGTTTGTATGTGTGACGCAACTCTCTTTTCTTCGTAGCATATCTCTTCGGATCGTCTCAACTTTCTAACGACTTTCAAATAATATCTGGAAGATCCTTGGGAGTTTTAATGCCAATTAAAACAATGAAAAAACAAATGCCAAGAAGATTTCTTATAGTAAACTTAATGCGATTGATAGCTTGGCATGTTTTTAGTTCTAACTTTCATTATGATGCTTGATGCCGTAGAGCATGAGTATTTATCTAACTTTAATCTTTTATCTCAATCTTTAGACTTTTGGATATTGCAATATATTAAGAGAAAAATTACTATAATTTCCTGCGAGAACATCGCCACTAACCTTTACGAATGTATAAAAAAATTAAATACAGTGTGAGTTTAATAGAGCAGAAAGCGTTGCCTCACAACCGCATACCTTTGAAAATACTTAGTCGTACCTTTAGGAGGAGAGATCAAATATTCAGAATAGGAGCTAAAAAGAGACGAAGAAATTTCTTTTCCGAAGAAAACACGTCCTTAATTTCCCGTAAACAGACAGATATACCTTCTACCAGTTTGTAATAGTTATGCTGCTTTTAGTTTTGGAATTCTTTCAAAGGTATACATACCTAAAATTAGCATGTTCGTAGGCCATGCTCCATTCATCATTTTAACAAAATGAAAGCACTATTTAAAGCTTGGCATTTGAAAAATGTATTTTATCAAATCATAAACATGAACATAGATAAAAATGTGAAGAAAAATTAGTTTTCGTGAAAGTCACCGCAAAAAAAGATGAAAAAAGAGCCTTGAAAAGTATTCAATTTTTATTCTTAAACCAGATACGCCTTTAGATCTATCTACATCATTAATTCATCGAAAAGTGTTACCAGTGTCACCGGCCTCGACTAGCGAAGATGAACATAAATCAATATCAAGTGAATCTTTTGGATCCATTACATCCTTGCATGTCATCGAGAATTTGGTTACCAGCAATGGTAATAAAAACCTGAATTGTTCATTAAAAACTCAAACGCCAAGGAAATCATCTCGAGTTAATCGCGGAGAACGCTCCCTTTTGCCATGCAGTGTATGTGGGAAAACGTTCGATCGACCTAGTCTTTTAAAACGTCATATGAGAACGCACACAGGTATGATGATTTCCACATGCAAACAAAAATATTTATCTGAAATGAATTCGATTTTAAGCACAAACTTGTACAATTTAGGAGAAAAACCACATGTGTGCGTAGTATGTGGTAAAGGCTTCAGTACTTCAAGTTCTCTTAATACCCATCGGAGAATTCACTCAGGAGAGAAACCTCACGAATGTCAAGTTTGTGGCAAACGTTTCACAGCCAGTTCAAATTTATATTATCATCGAATGACACATATTAAGGTAAGTTTCCAGTTCTGACTAAATGTTCAATCAATTTCTCATTGCCTACTTACTACGCTTAGTTAAAGAGCACATTTTTTATTATGAAGCCATTAAGAAGGTTATGTCTATAAAAGTTGGGAAAAATACTTGAATATCATACAGGAAAAAGTCTTGAGTGGTTTTCGCAACCGGTAACCCGTAATTTGTTTTCAATGAAAATTTCTCTAGGTCTACATGGCTTATGTACTAAACTGTCTGTTTACGAGTATATTTATGGACCACTCTTTCCAATTCGTGGGAATACATCAAGCTTGCAGTTAAGAGGCATTATGAAAAAATAAAACGGCAATAGAACAATGGAGAGGGTTAGCGGACTTCTGAAGCCTATTTTTTGTCAGTTTTAATGCACTGGTTGGAGCTAAATCCGCTTCTTGTGATTACAGATTAATTATATTTAAGGGATAACAGATTTTCGTCCATACAAAGAGAACACAAGTGATCAATGATTTATTAGGAGGGAATGCTAACGTGCACAGTTCTTTTTTTAATTCCTTCTTACCGTCTTATTGCCTAAAATGCATTTTAGTTGGAAATATTTTTTGATATTCTTTGTAAGTATGTCAACAAATTTGTAAAAAATTTGTTCTGATGTGTGTTGAATAGTCTTTCGCTAATAAGTGGGAAAAAATGATTTTGTGTTCAAAAGATAGGTTTCACAATATGCACCTGTAATTAGGAAGAATTGGGCGTCGTGTTAATTATGCGTTATGATCTAAAGTAATTTTTGAAAATTCAAACGAAAGGGAAAAATTTCTAATAAAAAAAACAAAGTACAACTTAAGTAAAGATCTCGAAAACCTTGGTTGATTTTCGTTTTTTAAAGGCTTAACGAGGAGCATTTTCACGGCCCCAAGATTTCAGACTAATGACTTCAAAGATTTTTATGATAATGCCGTTTTTATGCACTTACTCCTTTTTCAGGCAAATTTCCAAAAAGCAACCCAGTACTTTCATTGCTTTCAGATTGCTTTCTAGATTTTCTAATTTATTCTAAATTGTTTAATATGTTTTATCTAATGCTATCCTTACGGATAGATTCGGAGAATTCCAACACCAAACCTCGTATTTCTCTACGGCATTTACCGATTAAAACACATTCGCAGAAGCTTTCGTTTTGGTTGAATAACACATCACTACATTTGTACCATTTGCAATATAAGATACACGAAAATGTATTCAATTCTGTTTATTACTTAGGATGTTTGCTACGTTTGTTGTGCTGTTTGCGACAAACAACATAAGTCTAATTAGTAATACCCCATGGAATGGCGTCATGGTTAACTCAAAAAAGAATTCAAAACAAACAAAGCTTTCTTGCTTGTTTTATATTGACGCTTTTCAAATTTATTTTACATTTAACAATCTCTTCATTACTATTTTTGTTATTACATGTTGATATACCCACAATCAGAGATGACTTCGTCGCCTATTCTCGATTATGAGATTTATTATGTATTTTCAGATATATATTTATATGCATACATATATACATGTGCAGTTGCGCACATAAATGGAGAAACGTACACTTAAACCTATTTTATACAAATGTGCTTATTAAATATTTCAGGAAAAGCCACATAAATGTAATTTGTGTTCAAAGTCGTTCCCAACGCCAGGTGACTTAAAATCCCATATGTACGTGCACAGTGGTTCTTGGCCGTTTAAATGTCATATATGCTTCCGAGGCTTCTCTAAACAAACAAATTTAAAAAATCATCTCTTTCTTCATACAGGTTTGTCAGACTACTTAAAAGCGTACCCCTAGCCATATTTATGTGTGTACATTAGATTGGTTCAAAATAAGTATACGAAAAGAAGCCATCGAAAAATACAAGCAAACAAGAAACTCAAAAATAACGTTTTTGCCACATAGATTCACTATAACGCTCTAGTTGACTTGCTTAAATGTTAACGGCTTACAATCTGCAAGCTGAAAATATAAAAGTGGCAATTTTTTTGCCATCAAATGTCCTACTTTAGACACAACGTTTTTAAAATGAAAGAACGTGTTATGTATATTTATAGTAATTTAAAGAGCACAATGAAGTTTTAGCAAAAAGTAATAACAACCACCTTTTATTGTTTAATCCAAAAGTTTGAAAAGAGAAGCGGACAGATTAAGATTTATGCAATTATTTATTGAACAACCAACAGTAATTATTGCGTTATAGAAAAGAATATTATCAAAACTTGTATACAGGAAATTCATTTTCAATGACAAAGAATCTCCAACTAGAAAGGGTTTACTATAATACTTGTTACCTCGTTACGATAAACGTGAATAGTTTCTATTTGGCAGCTAGCAAGTAAAGGAATGGAAAATATTTTGCGCTCACATGTTCCATTCTATATAGAAAAAAGATTTTATAGAAAATTGATAAGTACTGGAAAATTCTTGCAAGAGATCACGAGCAGCCGGTACTCTCTGAAAATGTAAGTAGAAGATGTATTAGGAAATTAATTCAAACTATTGCGAAAATCCAATCAATTAGTCTCAACTCATGGATGCTGAATTATTTTCAAACTTTTCTTTTGATAAAAGAAATCATAAAATACAAAACAGTATAATTTTGAACCAGTCTAATAGATGTTTACACTTGTATCTATATATATGGACATATATATGTACGTATGTAGATAAACATAACTAATGACAAATGTATCGTATACGTATTTACCCCGGCAGGTGATAAGCCACATATTTGTGAGCTGTGCAACAAGAAATTTGCTTTAGCCTGCAATTTACGAGCACATCTGAAAACACACGAAGGTAAATTGATATGCAATATTCGGTTTTTCAGTGTAATGTATTTAATTTTGTATTTCTCAAAATTTTAGGAGAGCAGCAGGATGAATGTGTCCGATGCGGTAAAGTATACCTTGCCGCCGTAAATGCCAAACAGAAGGGAATTTGTTTGAGATGCTTTGAATCAAATAAGTTAATCGATGTAACGAAAACAGGTTTTCAATATGATGTAGAGTTGGCTACCGAAGACGATTCATCAAATGATAGTAACGAACTTAGTGATAAGTAACAATAACAATAAAAAAAAGTAGGAGTAACAATTTAAGATGTTATATATAAACTATCAGGTCGACCATTGAATACTCTCCTCATCCTTGTATTTTTAATTTTTTTTACTTACGATTCAATGCTAGAAATCAAACCGATTAAAGATTATTTAGAATGCTAAACGCACTGCGCAGTCCGATAGCGCTATACCGGAAAGGAAAAAAAATTATTTCTTTTTAATGATTGATAGAAAGTAATCTAAAAAAAGGCGTAATACAAAGAGATTGTTAATATTACTGATTTCTACAAACGTACAGGCTAAAAGTCGAATAGCGCTTTCGCCTTCAGTTCATTACCAAAAAATACGGGCCAACCAACCGCTTACTCTTAGTGGAAGCTTTTCATGTCTAAATGTAAGCAAATTGAACGACATTTTGAAATATATGATGATTTCTAAGAAATGTTTCCAAATCTAAAAATTTACTAATCTTCGAGCCAACAAAACAATCTAATTTATTTTGAAATTTATCATTGATATAAAAATTTTCAAATCCCAGCCATTATATGTGAACTTTATATACATTAACATATATATTTAAATATTTTCAATAAATATATTTTCGCATTTACAATAAGTGATGTTCATAAAGAGATTAGTACATACGCACTTGTGCATTCATATTAATACTCTACTTAAACCAAAAATTTTTTCATTATGTTAATAATACACTAGATCTCTGTACAGTGTAAATATAAATAAGTTTAGAGTCATAATTTTATGCATTTTAGATCTAGTCAGTAAATTGATGTTTAAACAATATATGCTTACTTATGAATGAAAAATATAAAGTATAATAATAAAAGAAGGTGTTTATAAAAAACTCTTGGGGCAAGAAATATTTCCTTTATTGCAAGTAGCAAAAGACAGTTCTCATATCGTCACAGTGCACGTATCACAAGTAAATACATTTAAAACTTGAAAAAAGGGAAGACACGTTAACAAGGGGTTAATCGCATACATCCAGGAAATCGCATAGTTGCCTCTTTGTCAGAAATTGATTTTGTTGTATAAGCAGTTACATATACGTACAGTTGCGGTTGTAACGCTTGATCTGTTGGAGAGAATAGCGCGAGGAGTAGAATGTAACACAAGATCCACTGGAGAAACAAATCGCAGTCATTTTTATTAAAACCAAGCACAAGGCGCAATAATCCTCTTAGTTTAGTGGAATAAGCATTAAGGTACCGATCAGCTGCCTTTTATAGCAGCTATGACAGGTAAGAAGTTTTATTCATTTTAAACAATCTCTATTCTGCCTTACACGTATGTTACTAACTTCAAAAAAGTGCTGCAAATCCATGGTGCAAACACAATCTCAATTGCCAAATTGCGCTTTAAATTCATTCATTTAGTTATTTATTTATGTTATTTATTTAGATATGAAATTCAGCTAAAATAAATTAACAGATGAATTCAATTGATCACTTATTATTAAAACCTAATACAAAGCATATATAGAGAAGTAAAGAACAAAAACTGACGCAAATACAGAATGTATAAACAAATAAGAGAGAGAAACAGAAAAAAAAGCATGTACAAATCTAGGACAGACACACAGCCGCACCCGGTACAGTTTCGAGTAGTGAGTGAACTTCTAAGCCATTGAAAAAGCTTGGCAACCGATAATAGTAGACAAATATTTTTAAAGGTACATATTAATTTAAATACGACAAAGAATTTAAAGAAGTCGATATTGAGATTAAGTAACAGATATTTTCTAGATTTTTGCAAAGGACATTGAACTTATTGAAAATCTCGCTTTATGAAGACGAAGTTCCTAGAGAAATTACTAAGGAGATTAAAATTTATTTCACCAAGTAATATCGGCGAATTGATAGCAGCATTTATTAAGATAGTTAGGACCGAAACACTAAGAAAAAATCTACGTTTGTCAAAGGCAAAAAGACAAGCTTTTTTTTCTAATTTCCTAATTTTTTTCCTAAAAATTCCTAAGGGCAAAGAATAGGAATTATTTTTGAACGGATCCTATTAAATCTACATAACACCTCCACGAAAGAGACCGCACAAAAGAGGTATACTCAAGTATTGGGCTAACTAAACTCATGTGTAGCCTTTCTCTAATATCAGAATCGTTGAACCACTGTTTAATGGAACTTGTCGCCGATCCGCCTTCACTTAAAGAGAGCTTAATGTACAGATTAAAACGTAACCTTTGGTCGAAGAGAACCCCTAAATTCGCGAACAATTATGCGTTTTCAAGTTTTTATGAATCGATGATATGCTCAGTATTGAATGAATTCCTCGTTGAGAAAGAAAGCTTCTTCCATTTTTTCACAAAATTTCATGAGCACCATGCAAACGAATTATTGAAATCAGTTTGAAGCTGATACGATTGCGAATCCAAGGAGGAAGGAAGGGAGCAAGTTTGGAGTTTGGTAAGGGCAATAATCGGTTAAATCGGAATGAATAGTTGAAAAACTTCGTCGGAACTACTCAGCAAAGGGATTCGAGGTCTCAATATCAAACTAAGCGCCGGAGCCATTGAAAGAGACATGAGATGAACATTTGGAGATTTTTCTTTGGAGTTAACAAACTTATGAAAATATTTAGGATTAATAAGAGTCGAGGGTTTTGTCCACTGAAGATATCTGCAATAAGTTTGGTGTTTGAGCTAATTAAATCTATGCCTTGCAGCAGAGTAGACGAACACTCGTACTCGTACGCACAGCCATTTTTCATAAATTTTTTGAAAAGTTTCTTTATCCTATATTTATAGTACTTAGCTGTTTTGTTAAGTCATGGCCGTCAACTGGCTTTACTAAAATCGTATTGCATATTTGAGTAAGTGGGGATATAAAATGTTTGAGTGGTTCAACAGGCTAACCTGTTTGTAATGAAAGAATAAAGAAATTACTGGATGATACAGATCATTAGGTAAGCTTAAATGTGGACGAAGACTTACAACTGCGTCCAGCAAATTAGCAAAGCAAAGTTATAGCCAACTGCAGTTACAATAGAAAGTAAGGCTGTATTGACTTGTGTCCCCTAATGCCACGACCATATCATTAGGTTTAAATCACTTTCGGTTTTTGCCAGTCGTAGTCTTATCCGATTTTTGCTGTGGATGTAACGAGATATAACGATTTGTTCATATACCCTAAAAAAAAACAGAACATTGCGTTTTAATTCTTCCTATTAATTTTAAAAGATAGAAGTTTGATAAATAAATGTGCATAAATTAATTCAATACTCTTATCGCACATATAGATTCTCAGAAATCAGCTTGGCCTACTTGAGTACTTGAGTAATTTAGTTTAGGATTTTAATTTGCCCGGCCATCATGAATTGCTCCATGTAATAATCGATTCTAATCTGATTGAGTTTGATATAGGTCAAAAACTCCATCATTGCGCGAGTCTTTTTCCTTCCTTTTTATTGTTTGAAGCTGATGGAATTTTTCCCCATGTATTGCTAGTGCCAACGGCGGGAGAACCTTGTTTTTGTTCCTTTAATCAGACAATGCAGATCATTTAGAAGTTGACGCTAAACTAATAGGCACACAAAACAATAGCAGGAGCAACCACTCTTGAGAACAGGACAGTTCGCATTTTCTTTCCGATCGGTATTTAAAAAATTTTCAAAATTCAACTACTGTTCACTTAAGTAAGAGTTTCTAGTCTGTTGCAACTTGTATTATACTTCCCAAGCATTGTTGTTTGATGTCCACAGGAGATCGCTGCATAACAATTATGCAATCAAGTTGTGTCGCCCGTCACATTTCGTCCGGAATCCACACGCCTACATTGACTTACTCTCCACGTCATTTTCCTACACACATTCATACTAAAAGGATTACTGCAAAGAAGATAATCTACCACTTTGTGGTGATATTTGAACCCGATATCAAAGGAATCAAGAGGAAAAGAAGAATCAAAAGGGAGGAGTTAGAGCAGCTTTTTTATTAAAGAAAATTATTTTCAGAACTAGAGAAATTTAATCTTAACAATGCTTCTTGTCAAATAATAAATTCATTATTCCGAATTTTCGTATCGAATATTGACTAAATGATTTAACTAAATCGGCTTAATCAAGTTCTTTGCTCGCAAACCTTTTGAAACAAGTCACGAATACCACATTTTGCTCCGATGCTTTCGTTAATCCTCTTACCCTCTTGTTTTTCTTACCCAATATATTATTGTGCCACTAGTGCATTTCATATCTATACTATTGGTACATTATTATACCAATTGATACATTATTACACCAATGCTATTATGTAATAATAGCAACGTAATTATGTTATTATATCAGTGAATTTTTGTTAATTTTCTTAAATGGTGAATTTCATGTTTTATTCGTTACTAGGGAATTTTTGCGAATCGTAAGCTGCGATCACTTAAGCTTCCTTTGATTTCATAAAATTCTATTTTTTTATCAACTCATTTTATTACATGTACAATATTCATAACAATGCCCTCCGCTTAAACTTGTTTTGGTTTCGAATTGACTTGCCAGTTATCCTCGTGATAATCCTGTAAGTTCCGCCCAGGCAGTTCACAGATTTGCTGTTACTCTTCCAATATACGATAGATAATACAGTAGTACTACGCGCGCCTTATCAAAATCTCCGGAGGTCTGCTTTGGATCATTCCTACCCTATCAACTTATTCCTTGCAATATGAGTTCGACTTTTGAATGATTATGGTGGGTTGTGACCACTCGATTTATTTCTCGCGGCTACTAACTTTTGTTAATGGCATGGTGCACTCCGCTCAGGCTATTATAATGTTTTCTTGTGATTTCGTCTATTTTCGCACATGGTCGCCAATAGTTTCCTGGTGGACCAAATGCTTTCTTTACACATCCATCTTCCATAATAAGGCTTTTTCGCTAAGCCAAATAGGCTTTCGTTATAAAAATTTTCTTTGATGTCACGTACACAGTTCCACCTTTTCAATGGCTGGCGATATTATAACTTTTATAGATTTCTAATTCAATTTACTTTATTCAATTAAATATAAGAATAGAAAAACTTATTCCGCCTGGGTGGTCGAATAAGCAAAGAATCTCGATTAACAGCTCACTTGTTGTGAATTCAACCCTCAAATGAGGTAGAGGCTTTAATGAGACCGGTAGCGTTAGATCAAGTGCTTTAAGACTTTAATGTTAGAATTTATTTCTTTGACTAAATTAGTTATAATAATAATAATTAATATTGCACGAAAATAGCGAGATTACATTCAAGAAAAAAAATATATAAGAAAATCATTAATTCGTACGACGCGTGCAAGTGCCGCTGATATAAACCAAAAAAACAAAGAAAGATGCGGTCGAACCACGTGAACGAGTAAAATAACGCTGACATAGTGATGCTTTTGGAAATTTCTCTTATGTAATAGAAAGTTTTTCTGTTCTTCTGTCCTTTCAGATGTTTGTTGAAACGAGCATTTGTTTCTATTCAGTTGGTGCGTCTGTTTCCTGTCTTGCTTCCAATTATGCAAAAGGGTTTCTTCAAGAAAATAAGTACTCTTGGAGAAAGTTTACTGTATCTTTGAAGACAGTTGACGGCAGCGAACATCCTGCAGTAAAATTAATCCGATTATCCGTCTGCTAATTCCATCTCTTCCACAAAATTTTATATTTACGAATTTATTTCACTCCTACCTTGCGTCCCACCAAAGATCGAAGGCGAAAGTCCAAACACATCTACGCTTTTTAATTGTGACAAACTTTCGCGTAGTATTACCAATTACAATTTGAGGGTAGAGCAAGCTAACTTATTTATGCTATCACATCCTACAAAATTGAAGGATTGGGCAGGACCTCACTAATTTATCATACTATCGATGCTGGTAACAATAAACCTATCAAACATAGACGTTTCGCTGTATCGCCTGCAGTAGAAAGGCTTCTGTTTGCAGATCTCTATAGAATGCTCGCTCTAGAAGTTATAAAAAAAACGCAAAGCGCTTGATATTCACCTGTTATATTAGTTATTAAACCAGGAAAAATTCGATTGCGTTTAGATGCCCGAAAAGCGAACAGTGTTACGGTTAAAGATGTTCATCCTTTACCATTGATTGATGGGATATTGAGTACATTACCAAAGGCTGAATACATCAACAGTCTTAAGCTAAAAGAAGCCTTTTGGCAAATATCGTTCGATGAAAATTCAAAAAGAAGATGATAGTCTGTACATTGCCTGGTCGTCCGTTATACCAACTTGCGATAACGCCCTTTGGGTTACGCAACTATGCGTCGATTAATGGATAAAGTGATCTCACCTCATCTACGTCATCGAGTTTTTGTGTGCTTAGATGATCTTTTAATTATTTATCAGACTTTTACTGCGCATCTCCAAAGATTGTCTGAAATTGCTTTGTAAGTACAGAAAGCCATTTTAACTATTATTGTTCAAAACACAAGTTGTTGGAAAAACTGGGACATATAACATCCCAAACCGTCTAAACAATTGCTAACAAAGTTCAGGCCATTCGTAACTATCTTTTGCCGAAATTTGTTCGCCAGTTACGAAGATTTTTAGGTGTTTGTGGTTGGTACCGCCGTTTTGTATGTGATTTCACATCTTTTTTCATACTCCTTACTAGCATGTGAAAAAAAAGGAAACTTTTGAACGGTCAGAGGGAGGAAATCTCTCTTTTGAAAACTTGAAAAAACAATTACGTTCTGCTCCTTTATTACAAAATCCAGATTTCAATCGTGCATTTTCTATACAATGTGATGCAAGTTCCAATTGCTTGTGCGTCTTAAAGGCTTAATAGTGCTCAAAGAAACTACAGTATCTGAAAAAGAATGTCCAGTTTTTCTGGTTATTAAAAAGTTTCGAGCCTATGTAAGAGGGCTTCTGTCAAGTGGTTAATGTCCCAGAGGGGTCTTCACGGTCGATTTGCTCGAAGCTCATTAGAATTGCAAGGTTTCATTTTCTCAATTAAGCTTCGAAAAGATTGTCAACACGTTGCGCCTGATTCATGGTCATTCCGAAGTCCTCGAAGAAATTGATAGTTTACACATTAATAAGTGCTTTTTAGAAGACTTGACTAACTCCATCGAAATTGATTTGACTTCGAATGCGTTTCAATTTCCGCAATATGTTTCTTTAAGTGATCGCTTTCAGTACGAGCTAGAAGAAGTACCTGGCGTAGTGATTCGAGATGATTTTATTTACAAGCGAACCGAGTCATCTTCTGGTAACATTGGTGTTATCATTGTTCTCGTTCATTTCAAGAAATTTCACTTTCTCGAATCTGTCAGAAAGCTTAACGCCCAAAACATCGTTGCATTGCTGGAAAAGCGTGTCATTTTGGGTGCACCTAAGTCAATTACAACTGACAACGGTGTTCAATTCAAATTATTCCTATTCAAGGCCTTGTTAGAAAATTATGGTGTTCATCATAACCTTACTGCCTTTTATGCTCTGCAAGCTAATGCGAGAAGTCGATCTGTTTTAGCCGCCGTCAGAACACACATTAAAATCTCTCAACCAGATTCAGATGAAAACTTATCGGTAATTAATTGTGCACTGAGAAGCGCTTTTCGTGCAAGCACGAGGTTTTTCGTCTTGCTATATTCTGTTTGGACAAAACAAACTAAGTAATGACCCGTCATATGCACTATTACGAAATCTCGATCTTTTACAAGATCTTTTTTCCTTTCACAAGACCTTTCTTTACTCTTCCCGTAACCTACGAACCTATAAACGGTATTTAAAAGGAACTTCATCCGAAGTGGCTTAGTAGATCACTACAATAGCAAGCTAGCTAATTAATTCGAAAAGGCCGTAGTCGTAGCTAAGCATGGGTCAAGTTATTACGAGCTCAAAGACCTTAAAGCAAAAAGCTAGATATATTTTATGTTAAACAATATCATTTAGTTGCATCCAGCTGTTGATGTTCTCGTATACACTACTCTCATAAAAGAATTAAATAAATTGTTCTGTGATCCATATATATTTAAACGTATTAAATTCTGAAAAACATGTAAAGGAAAAAAAATGGAATAGAAAAATATTTGTTCTTCTTATATACGACTGGAATTTAGCCTCCAGGTCCACGGATCCATAATTCTCCTTTCTTGTAAAGATTAAGGACGTGCTATTCTTTTAAGTGTAAAGATCTGAGGAGTGTCTGAGAGACGAACTATGGAAATCCTATCCGCATCTCCCGAAGTAACTAGTTCACTCTCAAGAACCTCCGATCCTCACAAAGCGCAATGAATAGTGACCCCAAATATATTAAAGTCCGTTTTCGATTTTTCGCTGAGTTGGGCAAACATGAAGGACTTATAGACATCAGGTGTTACATCTGTTCTAATTCTCTCATTTCAGTTTTATGTTTCCTACAATTTTCCCTTAGGATCCCTTGAGGGTTTTTCTACGTAGCCTTAACATTCCTGTCTTCCACCACTTTCCTTAAATTTCACCTTTATGTAGCTATGGAATCTATGTTAGCACGAGATTTACCGTTTCACTTTTTCTACAATTCCTGTGCCATTTTCCTTTAATGAAATAAATTTGTAATTACTTAGTTCTAAATGGTGGCGTAGTCGAAGCCCGTGTTATTGAATATTGGAATCAGGTGGCGCGTTACTGTGCGCATTTTTTTTTTAGTTTAACGTCTCGTAACCACATTAATCGTTACCTTTCCTCTTGATAGATGCTGTCGTACATGTACCCTTTCGTTCTAATCTTCATTTACATGCACGCTAATTAATTTCCGGCATACACAGCGTCTACGTGTGGTTGAATCTAATGTTTGTTTGTCATACGTAAAATTGGCCAAGCAGCAACTGAAACGATTTGAGGAAACAACTCTTCCAGTACAATGAGAAAACGCAAGTTTTCCGAATTAATAAAGAGTGGAGAGTTTATCTTTTTTAGGCATTTGCAGTAACTATGGTTGTCGGGGTAGTTAAATCTACACCCACCAATGGAATGCTTAATAGTTATGCTCAAAGCCGGACATTAATCTTTTCAACAGTCGCCAGCTAAGGGTGGTAAAATGTTATGAATATGTCTTTGGCTTTCCCTTTCTTTAGTATTGGTTCCTTAAAAAATCGATAAGTTTCATCAAAACTCACATTATCAAATGTAGTATTTTCGTAAGACTATCTTAGTGTAGCTTCAATGAGACTTTCGATAGAACCACCTTTTCACAGTTTAAGTTTGTCTATCTGACAGTGGAAGAAGCCCGGAACCTTTCAATGCTGCTGTCATTGAATTATATATTTTTTTGTAGTTTCCTTTGTCATTTCGCAAAACATAATGTGGAAAAGGTACGATTCCATCTTTGACGTATGCAGCAATACGTTCGTTTTCATGCCTAAAATCTTTGAGACAGGAGCTTAACGGCGAATATTTGAGTTGCGAACTAAAAAAGGGAAATAAAAAAAAAAATATAATGCAATAAAAAAACATATTTATATTATAACACGTTTCAGAAGGCAGCATAACTGGGACAATCTTAATTTTTTTCAATCGAACTTTTCATATGTTTATTAATTTACTTATTTATATATCTACGCATGAAGTTCAAATCTTACCCTTTTGAAAATGATAACAGAAAATGAAACAGAAATCGTGAATTACTTTTTAATAAGGTCACTGAAATTAAATATATCACTTACAAAAAGATGAGGGCAAAATGAAATGGAAAAGATTACCTCCGATATTAAAAGATGTGTTAGTCCTATGATCTCTCTGCACATTAAGGAATGTGAAGAAAAATTACTTATTATGCCTATTCTCGCTATGATCGAAAGACTTACTTGTACTTAAAAAAACCGTCTAAGAAGCCTTTTATTTAAAATATGATCTCCGAGTTGCAATATAATGTGCAACGTTACTAGCCATTCTCGGACATTGATTCCTACTCAAATAGTATTGATTTTCCCATTTTAAGGGAAATTTTTGTAAGAAACAAAAATTTAGAGTCAAGAGTATGGTGGTATTAAAAAAAAAGAATTCCGCCGATTCCGCCGTTGATGTTATTACTATTCAAACCATGAATGTTAAACCAAATCTTTCCAAGTATTTTCAGTGTATCGTGCTATTCGCTATTAAATTCAGAAATTGTGTGACTTTTTGATGGTGAACAAAATATAATTTTTACAGGAGATTTTAAAGCTAGGCATTATTCGTAGGGTGACCATCACGCGACATAAGCAAGATCCTTCTAAATGCCAGCAATATCAGCAGTTTTAAGTTTGAAACCATGGAAACCCTACTTTTCACTGCAATCGATATGGTCGCAAGACGGATAGTCTTGGCTCTAACTTCCATTAAATCAAGTATTTTGTTATACAATTAGAATAGAAAACAACGCTTCAATTGGTAGTAGCTAACGCTCTCCCAGATTGTTTCAAAGCTACCGTCCGGTTTGTCGTTAAATTGAAGTACTTTTCAATCCGAGATGGAATTCGTTGAAACCAAATTTTCCGATATTCAGTTTTTCTCATTCAAAAAGTGATGAAACCCTTCCCTTTCAACACTTTCCCGAAAATATCAAGACGCAAGCAAAAAAGGTAGTAAATAGGCAAATCTCGTCAATTTCATTGAGTATATGAAGAGAAGGAGTGAAGAGTTAGAAAGGCCAAATGGACACACAAAGCTATCACGATTAATGGGACGTGTACAAGAGGCAATTCGCTTTTTTCTAGAATTTTTTCAGTGAGTGGTGGTTATTTATAGCTGGTATTTCGTTTAGAGTTGTCCAGTGGTCCGTTCCAAGAAAACTTGTCCTTTGAATTAACGGAATCTTCGCATTTTGGTGTTGGATCATATATATATTTATGGAATCCAAGATGGCCTAATTTGCGACGTAACTTCGTAGTGAAAGAAAAAAGCCAACACGTATTGAGTGGGTAGCCTTGCTTTCTCTTTACCGAGGAAATATAACTCGCGTGCGACTGTGTCAGTGGTTCAGCAGACAGTTGATCGGGTCCCTAAAGGTGTACTTTCGAGCCGGGAGTTTGTGAGATAATGATGCAAGCGCACACTGTTACCTTAAGGACATCGTTCCGAACCGACAATACCTATCTCCCAACCACAGGTTAGCTACCAAGCTAGGGCATCCTTTCGGGACGAGAGTCTATAAGATAATAATGCAAGCGCACACTGTTATTCGTTAATTTTATCGATGGTCACTGATAAATCGAAAATTATAAGGTACCTAGATATGTTTAAGGGTCATGTTCCAAGTGGCAAGAGGCTTGAAATACCTTCAATTCCTTTTACTACTTTCAATAATACACCCTTCTCCTTACGTAACACGTGTTTTACAATCCAGGAAGAGGGCTACCGCCGCAGGTATAAAAATAAAAGACTGGTCGATTTATTTATAGCCCTAGACTATTGACATTACGGGCTTCTCTTTCTTACTCTTTTACTAACGTGCGCATTACTGGATATAGGTGACCACACTTTTACATAATATTATTGTCTAAGTTGTACTATTAACTAAAGCTCAAAAGTGATTTCGGCTACCTTCTATGTGCATAATGTCACCTATGGGTTTCAGCCTTGTCCAATTTCGAATATTACAAAATACGATGTTCTTTGTTTTTTAATATACTTTAGCAGCTCATGCTTATTCAACATTGAATATGCGATCGGATATTTTAAGTAGTCTACGGCAACATCACATTTCAAACGCTTTCAGTGCGTGCGTTGTACTGACTTTTAACGTTTATGATTTTGAACCATACATGAGCATCGCCCATGCGAAGCATTTCATGGAACGAAGGCGAAAGAATAAGTTCATTTCGCGCCTTGCTTGAATATCCAGGTACGCAAAGCTTCTAAGTGATTGTCAGCGTTCATAATAAATGTGCGATTATAAGTCTGTGCTTCTCTTAAATGCTAAATCTCGCGTACATATAAAAATTGTATGAGTTTTCAAAAATAACCTTTAGAAAGTAATGCACACTTGCCGCAGGTAAGGTTTGAATTGGGTTCATAACTAGGTCATCTATTTTTTTTTTTATGGATATTGAGCTCAAATGAACTAAGTCAATGAGAAATATAGCGTACATGTCCGGAAAATAGAATACGATGATTATTTGCAGGTTGCATTTTTCGACGAAAATCCCACATTTGATGGTTTGACTTTGCGTGAAAACTAGAAACCAAATTACCAAACATAATAAAACCAAATATACATTTATAACGTTTTACCTATCTTATAATGCTGGGGATTGTTGAAAAGATTAAAAATATTTGGCAGAACATTTAGCGCAAAAAGGGGTTTAAAACAAAAATGGCGCGGTGAAGTTATGTACTTTTAACTAGCTTGTAAAAGGGTATATAAGCAGTATATTTGCGGGAGGCAAAGTTAGTCGAATCAAGAGAGCTAAATTGCAATATTCGACCACGCAAGACAAGAACGAGAATTAAAGCATTATAAGTTCCTGTATATATAGTTTATAGATTTCATGAGGATTGTAAATAAAACCGACGCAAACCTACAAATCACATCAATGGTACGAAGTTGACTTCAATATGAATTGAATAAAAAACTTGAAAAGTGCAATAGAGCAAGTCGCTTTATAATATATATATTTCTCTTTAAGACTAAGAAAAAACCGTTTATTTATTTACCCATTTATACATGAAATTAGACTGAAGAAAATCTGAATTCAGTGCATCTTAATAGAAAATCTTATACTAATTGTTTTAAAACTAGTATACAATAAAAAGGAAGAAAACAAGAAGAATAGTACTAACAAAGTAAGTTTTAAAATAAATTAAAAAGTTAAAAATAATAATTCATGTATAAATAAATAAAAAGAGAGAAAAATTTACACATTAAGGACGCAACAAGTCGCGGTTAATAATAATGATGACAGAAAAAATAAATAACTATATGTAAATATGTACATACTTAATGTATATACTTATATACTTAAACATTATTAATTAAAATTAATTAAGGCTCAGATTGTAAAAAAATAACAATACGCTATTATAATAATTACTACGTGCATACATATTATTTAGGCCCGAACCTGTGGTCATTGTAATATAAAGGACAAAAAAATGAGTGGACTACTTTATATGAAGACTTGATAAAAGCACTTAAATATGTGTAAAAATGTAAAAAGCGTCGGTTAATTTTACGCAATTTTAGAGAAAAGAAAGCAAAAACAGATAGATAGATACTGCTCATGTGTTTGTATGGTGAATATGAACGGAAGGTTCTGTTTTCGCGACTTTCAGAAGCTAAGTTACAATCTCGTACGTTATCTCGTCACCATCGTCGTCGTCGTCATTCACCCATTATCCTAACTGAAAATTCCAGTTCATCCATATTGCCCCTGAAATTGGAATTAAGCGTAAGAATGTATTTCCTGTTTTCTCTAGTAGTGTCAACAGCACTAACTGCATTTTGGGATTGTAGTTCCCATAATTCTTCCGAACTTATTTTTTGTTTTATTAGTATTCTCTCTCCCAGAGTATTAAACTTATATACATAAAATATCTTATCTCAATATAATTCATACTTATGCATTCAACACTTTGTTGCTATCTGAAAACTACGCAAAAGTGAATATTTGAATATAAAAACCAACTTCCAAGAAGAGCTAAAGAAAAAAAAATGTATTGTAAAAATATGATCGCTCAGGAAATTATTTTGGCTAGGTTATGACAGGTGAGTGGTGGATAGGAGGGGCCTGAGAAATGTTCCTTGCGTCAGTCAATGCTATGTTATGCCTATGTTTGTTACATACTTATACTGTACCTACTCCTTGCTTTCTACAAAGAAAGTGTTGCTGCATAAGTGTAGGCATCCATATTAACATTACCTCGCAACCAATACTTTTCTATTGTTTTATTAAGATCTTTGAAATTTTATTTTATAATTTATTATTTCCTACCTATTTGCGGTTGAGTTTCTAACCGAGAAAAATCACAATGTAGGTTGATATAATAAGAATATCGATTGTCATTCATTTATTATTATTATTATTATTAATTTCGCCACAGAAATAAATTCTAAGACTAAACTCTTAAAAGCACTAGCATCTAAGGCTATCGGCTTTTATTAAAAACTCTACCGCACTTGAGATTCGAACCCACGACCATTGACTTGCTAGTCGAGATTCCTCCCCTTCGGCTACTCAGGCGGATCATTCATTTATGATAAGTGAAGTGGTTCTGCAATTATTAAAGCAATTTACAATCCCAATGGAAACAAAAATATTAAAAATATAGGAGAATATATTTTCCTCGTTTAATGCAACCCATCTAAAAAATTTGAAAAATCACATAAACACAATTATTTGAAAATAATATAAATTGTTTATTGGACACATTCATTCCGTCCATCGATGAGTACAATTCTGATTGGTGCAGACGTAGTATAGCCTCATTTCCTCTTCCGCTCTTCTTGTCTGTGCTTGAAAAAATACAGCTTCGCGATGTGTACACTTTGGACAAGCGTGGTCTTCTGTTCGCGGCAAAGTTGGATCGGAAATTACATCAGGAACAATGTGTGTGAGTTCACTGAAAAATAAATAGATGTAGGAATTTTTGTGGGCCATTTCGCTCTTTGACGTACAGAAGATGCATTTTAAACTTAAGAAAATTATTTCAAAAGACCATGCGACACCTACTGATGGCTGCCTGATTTAGAAAGGGGGCATCGCTCTAATAGCAAATTACAAAAATACAATTATGGATATATAAATAGCTATTCGTTTATTGCATCAGAAGAAAGCGTTATAAAACTTTTTTGCCGATGTATGAAATGATGATAAGAAATTGTAAGAAAAAAGACGCATTTATAATTGATTTTAACCAAAAATCGCACTTTTACTGCAAAACTCTCGTTGCATTCGCTTGGTTTAACACTCTGTGATTTTTCGAAAGCCCTCCGAATGGTTTACTACAATGTTTCCTGTGTTATAATATGCCCTCCGCATGTCAACTTGCTCTGCACGTTTGAAAGAACGTCAGGGAAGGACGTACCTTTCCAAGTCAAACTGTCACTGATAGTTGACGCAAAGTATTTCTACTAAAATCTTGTGTTGACTTGCAAACGCACCTTGCATATTCTTTGGTAGAAAAAAAGGATTTGCAAATACTCCTTTGTAAATAACATTAGGTCGCCCTATAAATTACACGCTGTTTTCATCTTCAAACTAAAGATAAACAAAATGGAACGTAACCTAAAGATGCGGTTCCCAATTTCTGTAATTTTTTTCCATCTAAAAGACATTTCAACCCACTCTTTCAATACTTAATTGTCTATAACAGAAAATACTCTTTTCAAAGTTTGACCTAGATGGGAAAATTTTTTTATTCCATATATTGCGAACTGCGCAACGAAAAGTAATCAGATGTGGCAGCACCGATGGCACATAATCTTCGACGTAAGAAGTAAAATGTGAACGTCAAGAATATCAAAAAAGAAACTCATAAATCCAGTCTAGTTTCCTCGCTAATCAACGTCTGCTATGTGATTCTAGGCTTTATGCAAAGTACCATCGGGGTTTTCAAAAGAGAATGTAAACAATGACCATTCCAAGTCAAAGCATTATTTTTACTTTTTGCCCGTTGATATAATTTTAAGGGGGAATGGGGAATATTGTACTACGAGCTATGCCAATCTAACGAAACCGTCGCTGAACAAGGTTATTAACGGTAATTGATGCAAATGATTATAAACAGAACAATATCATGCCAAAATGTATAATCAAGCGGTTTTGTTTCAAATACTTGCATAATTGAATACTGTGGCAGATCAATTATCCTTGCCTGTGAGTAATTGACACTACAGTAAAATTTATTATCAAAATTCACATTTCTTGCAAGCTTAAATCATTCAAGTATAAATTCGATCCAACTGAATATAGCCGCACTTAATCTAACCTATTATGATTAAATTTACCTTTATGTACTTACTCGATTTCGTGCATAATTTTGTTCACATATATGCAATTGGAATCCGCTTCTTGTTTGTAATCACAATTCCGGCATGCATACAACAGGATTTTATTCTCCTTATCTTCCTTCGGGTACAACATGTTGTTGCTAAAGGAATACAGAATACACCCGTATAAGAACAAAAGGGCAACGATTAAGTTTTAAAGCATGTTTTATTTCACATCTACGTATGTATGGTCACGATAACAATATTGTATTATGGACTTGATTTGCTCAGAAAGAAACGAGACTAATAAATTTTTTTGCGCTTTACCTGGTACGTAAATTCTCTAACGAGCGCGAAAATGGCAGCATTCATGCACAAAAGTTGGAGATGTTTACGCATGCGGTATCAAGTACTTACTACATTTTACTATTTTGGGACGAAAAACATAAGCATCGAGCTGTCAATTAAGCGTTTGTTTTTGTAAGACGAATTGTGTACGTCAACTTTTTCATGCCAATTATCACGTGAAATTTTGGTCGTGAAACATCGCCTTACCAACTTGGGTGATGATAAACGTTTGGAACAATCGCAAAGTATAATGATAGGCGAAAATGTCGCCTCCCAAACTGTAATAGACAGCCATGGAGTTAAGCGAAGTGGACAAGTTCAAAGAGAGATTTGGATATAAGAAAGTTAACTGCACTCTGCCTACACATCTGCTCGCAGTGCAAGAAAATCTCGTAACATTTTGGGTAAATGAATTGAAACAACTAGCGAAAACGGCGCCTTGGAGGTTATTATTATTATTATTATTATAAATTTAGAATTTAGAATAAATTCTAAAACTTAAGTCTTAAACCACTAGCATTCGGCTTTATTAAAAACTCTACCGCACTTGAGATTTGAACCCACGACCATTGAATTGCTAGTCGAGACTCTTGCCTACTCGGCCACTCAGGCGGATCGCCTTGGAGTTAAATGAAGTGGACATATTGTAACAGGTTATGACTGTAAGTCCTAAACTATCGACCTACGGATTTAATTATTATTAGGACAATTTTAAAGTGCCACTTAAAGAAAATCAGACACAAATTCCTCAGCCGTATATATTTTGCATCCCCAAAATTTTTATACAGATTGGCTTGCAAATCGCAATTTAGGACTTAAGAATTTTTCTTTATAGCAATCTTGCAAACATCATTTACGTTCTCTTTAATTAATTTGCTTTTATTTTTTTTCAATAATTTTCACTTCCATACACATTTTTTCTATATTGTTTTGGTCGTTTAAACTTATTATCACAATTATCAGGCACACCAAGGCGACTGACACCCATTCACAAAAAACAAATGATCAAAATTGTCTTTCTTTTTTTATATATATATATTTCTAATAGCAGTTTTCGAACGCTCCAAATTTTTTTTCTTTTTTTCGTTTATCGATCTCTATCCTCGTCATTAATTGCAGTTCCCCCTTTTTTCACCAGTCCTGTTCCAAACGTCATCTATTTATCAGCGAGTGAGCTAAACAATCTCACTTACTACAGGATTGTATTAGAAGATGCAAAAATTAAACAACAAACAGAGGTGTTTTCAGGTCACGTGACCTTCGACCGATTTGGCCCATTTTTAATACCTACCTGCTTGCACGAACTTCCAATTTTCCTGCCGAATTTGAAGTCAATAGCCTCATTTTTGCGGACAGGAGAATGTTTACAATAGACATTACACCGACGGACAGGCCGACATGCTTAAATCGACTTACAATTTGATACTGATCCAGAACGTATATAGTTTTTGGATCTGCGATACTTCCTTCTGGGTGTTGCAAACGTTTTGACAGAATGAATATATCCCTTATCCTTCGAAGATGAGTATAAAAATTTATTTTTATGATTACCAGAAAATTCGATTCGATTCGATTTTTATTAAAGATTTGCACAGGAAAGGAGACCACTGAATGGCTAGAAAAGACCTTTCGCGTGCGAAAAAGCGTCAGTCTAAGTAAGGCATTCTTTATTTTAAATTATTTGCCCGGCTTTTTAAGAGTGCTTACTTATATATATTCGCAAAATATCTCTTTTTTTCTATGCAATAAAAGTTTGGCATTTTTTTATAAATGCAAACAAAACAAAAAGATGATTGCAAACCAAATTGCAAATTAAAAAAATAAAAAAAAGCCAATTTTGTGCATAACAACCATATAGGAAAAATTCCAAATGAATAAAAAGAAGTTTTCAGCATCATAGATCATGTCGATTTATCGCGTTTCCTCATGTAAAATAAGGGATTCAGAAATTCATTACATTCTTGGTTTGTTTTGCTCGGTTCACCTCAGTAGATCCCGATTTGTGTGATTTTTGAGCTGGTAAGTTTCCGACTCAATAGCAAAGGATTAAGAATTTACCCACATCGCTCCTTTAAAATGTGAGAAATCACTATCGACATGATGTAGGGTCTGGTATTAAGAGTTTGGTTAGAATTCTATTTTAGATCAAGAAGACGGTATTCGTTTTCGTGGTCGGTCCTGAATATCAGAAACTGTTGCCGTCTGTCGATGATGGCGAAGAGCCTCTATTCTGGTGCCCAGTGCTGCTGAGATGCCATCCAAAGCAATCCAAATGAAAAAAACAAACAAATGTATCTACGCGCGTCGAATTCCGATGGTAGTTATGTTACAACTTTCACAAAACGCCAAGCTTTAAAGCATCTCGTAACCGTTTAAGAGGGAAACCTTGCTAGCTTACATAGTTAATAATAACAACGTTTTTTGACCAGATATATTAGTTTGTGGAAAAAGAAATCCATTAATTTTATATGAACTTCAGGACTTTATTTAACATGCTTCGGATTGTCCGATTTGGGTCAAATATGCACCGTTTTGTTGTACGATTTGATGCCATTTTAAAGGTAACTTCAAAATGCCTCTCTCATAGAAGTCCTGGTCTCTATTTGCAAAAAACTCTAGTAGTCGATTTTCACAATCCTCCCTAGATTCCAATTTTTTATCATTAAAGAAATTTTGCAATGCAAGAAAAAGATGATAATCGCTTGGTGCCAAGTCCGGACTGTATGGCGGATGCATTAAAACTTCCCAACCAAGCTCCCGAAGTTTCTGGCGAGTCACTGTAGATGTGTGTGGCCTAGCGTTGTCCTGGTGGAACACGACACCTCTCCTGTTGGCCAATTCTGGCCGTTTCTGGTCAATCGCTATCTTCAAACGGTCCAGTTGTTGACAGTAGAGATCAGAATTTAGCGTTTGGCCATATGGAAGCAACTCATAATAAATAATCCCCTTCCAGTCCCACCAAATGCATAGCAAAACCTTCCTGGCCGTTTGAGGTGCTTCACCGCTCTTTGACCACGATCGTTTTCGCACAGGGTTATCGTATGTGATCCATTTCGCATCTCCAGTCACCATCCGCTTAAGAAATGGGTCTATCTCATTCCGTTTGGCCAAGGCTTCGCAGATGGAAATTCGATCCATCATGTTTTTTTCTGTTAATTGGTGTGGCACCCAAACATCGAGCTTCTTTTTGAATCCAGCTTTGTGTAAATGGTTTAAAACTGTTTTATGGTCGATTTTTAGCTCCTGGGCGATGTTACGACTGCTAACATGCCGGTCAACTTCGATCATTTCTCCGATTTTATCGACATTTTCGACGGCCGACCTACCTGTGCGAGGTGCATCTTTAACATCAAAAATTCCTGAATGGAATCTACGAAACCAAAATTGCACATAATTGGCTGTTACAGTATCGGAACCATAAACACCATTCACAATTTTAGCCGCCTGGCTTGCATTTTCGCCTTACCCAATTTTCTCTTTGTTCATTTCTATTTTTAACACGCTGTAACTCACAACTGAATGCACCAAACAAAAAACAGCAAAAGAATTTTTTTTACTGCGAAATGTCACCTTTTCAACGAGCATAAATATGAAATTGTTTGATCGATACTTTACGAGAAATCTATAAGTGCAGCCATCTACCGAAAAAATAATGGATTTCTTTTTCCCCAAACTAATAAATAAATTATTTTGCGCACTCACACATTTTAAGCGCACGTGCGATTGCAGGGATTTCAATATAACTTAAAACCCTGCCATCTGACGGCCTAAAAATGCACGTTGTCATGAATATTGTAAAACGTAGTGCAAATGCATGTAAAAAAGCACACATTTATCGCCAAGGGAACATGTAATGAGCATACATGTCCGAAATTTTGTTTTTTATACTTTGGATATCAGATAACAAAAGACGGTCGTAATACTACTACATATTCCAATATAAAAATTTTTATTAGAGCATAACAGACAGCCTCAAAACGCCTATTGCCTTTTCTGCACGGAAACCACTTTCTATTTAAAAGATGGAAGAAGACAGCAACTAGTCAAGGATAAAAGAAAGTGAAAACCTAATTGCGCACCTAGTGAAGCAAACTACTGGCTTAATTACTGATGGCCATAGCAGCAAAAACTTTGAAGATCTTGCGCTAGGAGATCGCTGGAACAGAATACATTCTTTTTGGCCTTGTTAGGTGAAGTGCTATTGCAAGTCAATGCTATAAAAAATACAACTTACCTAGCATACTGTATGGTAAATTGCATACTTTATGGTAAAAAAGAGAATCGTAAATACATATATTTGTGATTTGAAAGCATTTAAGAAGGAGAGTCTACAAAATGTGAAGTTTAAAAAGCCATTACAGACAAATAGACATGAACAAATAAGACTCTTTTCAGTTTAGCCAATAAAAAAATAATTGGGCAAAGCGGGGCATGACAATGCGGTGTTTAATTTGTTTAATTTTTTTCTAATCTAGCCTGGTGCATTCTTTCTTCTTTTGAATTAATTCAGTATAATTTTGTTTTCAATTATATATATATCAATTATATGTACACTTACAAAGTGTCAAAAAAACAGTGAATGTTACATGAAGATAAAAAAGATGACAGAGGTTGCTGGCCCCAAAGAGAACAATGTAACAACATAGCTATGATGTAAGTAAATAAAAAGAAAATATACAAACTTAGAAAATTCATTAAAATTAAAAGAACGAACGAACGCAGACCGTTATATGCATCCATTTGGAATTGCGACAGAATTATGCAAATTCAGCATAATTCTTTTGCTAAAAAAATAAATTTTATGTCGCGCTTC